GAGCCAAGTTTTAGTTATTTTAGAATAACCTTTGCAATTTTTCATCAAATCATACCCCTGCTATTACTTTCTCAATATTTTTCATCAAGTTTTCTCACTTGTCTTAAACAGTGAACAACTGTGAAATTAAGAGAAAAATGTATTTTTACCCTTATATATATCAAAACACATAACTACTCAGATTTGAAAAGTTTGTGGATTATCTTACGTTATTTCACATAACACAGATGATTTATATATTGTATTTGGGAGAAAAATAGAAAAGAGGATTCATAAAAGAAAAACTTTTTCTTTTTTTGAGACAGATTCTCACTCTTTTACCCTCAGTAGAGTGCTATAGCATCATAGCTCATAGCAACCTCAAACTCCTGGGCTCAAGTGATCCTCCTGCCTCAGCCTCCCCAGTAGCTGAGACTATGGTGCCCACCACAACACCTGGCTAGTTTGTCTATTTTTAGTAGACACGGGGTCTTGCTCTTGCTCTTGCTCAGGCTGGTCTTGAACATCTGAGCCCCATGGAGCCACCTGCTTGGCCTCCCAGAGGCCACTCCTCATTGCTGGGATTACAAGCATTAGCCACTGCACCAGCCTAAGGAAAAGAATTTCAAAATGTTTACTAAGTGCTTGATTTTCGTATTTAGTCCCTTCACATTTATATTCCATTAGTCAAAGATGATGGTAGCATATCAGAATCTTCTATGGTCCATAGGAAATTTTGATTCATTTTTACTGTACAATAAGACAGTGTGCTGGGTGATGGGATAGTTATATTCTGGTTACTCGGAGAATGTATCACATTAGAAATGAATACATTTGAAAAGTCTCATTTAAATGTATTGTCTTCTGAATTTAGATAGCCAGGATGTGAGCTTAAGTCTGAGTGTACTGACAAACTGACCTCAGTGACAGTGGGAGAGAACTTTGTGTCATTTTGCTTTGACTTCACAATAGATAGTCCATAAACTTAATCCATTCTAGCTCTGTCATGTCAGGTTCTCTTGGGTTTAGTGGGGGTAAAAAAATTCCACATTATGAATGTTGGGTTTCTAATAAAAATAATTGTTTAGCTTTTCTGATACAAACTACATGTGTTCAAATCCTAGCTTTACTTTTTAGTTTTAGATCCTGAGCAACTTTAATTGATCTCTCTGTGCTTCACTTTTCTTGTACATAAAATGACAATAATTCTAACCAATCATAGAATTGTTGTATAATTCAATCAGTAAATACATGCGTAGTACTTTAAAAGTTTATTACTGTAAAGGAAATGTCTAAATTGAACAACAAGAAAATCTTAATTTACTTTGATCATTATTTATTTAAAGCTAAAATCATCATTGGTTAACACTGAGCTATTTAAATAGGCCATCAACTTTAAAGATTTAATAATTAGCACAGGTCATATTGCAGGAAAATCAGGCAAATGCAAGTGATTTTCACTGGGGATTTATTGATGGTTCTATAAAGCTTTGTAACATACATTTCAAACTTTAAAGTGTTTATTGTTTGGTGTAACCATTTTATTAAAACATAGATAAAAATCTGGTTCCATTCATTGATACGTGTATTTTTTTCTTCTGGCTAAACCTTTTAGGTTTGTGACTGGTTGTATCCTCTAGTTCCTGATAGATCTCCTGTTCTGAAATGTACTGTGGGAGCCTACATGTTTCCTGATACGATGTTACAGGCAGCAGGATGCTTTGTCGGAGTCGTGTTGTCCTCTGGGATACCAGAAGATGATAGGGAACTGTTTGAGGATCTGTTAAGACAAATGTCTGACCTTCGTCTCCAGGTAACATGTGCTTTTGAAGAAACTGTGATAATCTCTTAAGTCTGCAGTCCCCAACCCATGGGGTGTACACCAGTACTAGTTTGTGGCCTGTTAGGAACCACGCTACACAGGAGATGAGCAGTGGGAAAGTGAGCAAAGCTTCATCTATATTTACAGCCACTCCCCATTACTCATTGATTCTGCATTTTGGTGAGTTGTATAATTTTTTCATTATACTGTATATTACAATGTAATAATAATAAAGTGCACAGTAAATGTAAAGCCCTTGAATCAACCTGAAACTATCCCCACACCTCCCAGTCCGTGGAAAAATTGCTTTCCAAGAAACTGGCCCCTGGTGCCAAAAAAGCTGGGGAACCTTGCTCTAAGTGATCAAAGTTAGGAGATGGAAAGTATAAAATCTGTGTGTTCACACTGCATCCTGGGAATTTGCTGTAAATGGTGGTTAGGATAGTGGACTCTGTAGTCAAATTGCCTGGATTTGAATTGAACTCTTGCACTTAACAGTTGTTTAACTCAGGTGTTACTGATCTCCTCTATACTTTGGTTAACTTATTATAAAATAGGATTAATAATAATGTCCATTTTATTGGGCTCTGTTGAAGATTAAAAGTTAATACATTTAAGCATATTTATATCAGTCCTAGCAAGTGGTTAATGTGGTTAATGATTTGTGAATGTTAGCTATTATTTTCACTGTTTTACTGAGTGGGTGGAAAAGTAGACTATTGGGACCAAGTGGTGAAGTGAAGGCAATTTTAGCTTTAACTCCAATTTTATGTTGGAGATTTCAGGGGTTATGATTGGCATTTTGAGGAAGAAAAGGGTTCTGATTGAGAGAATTATCTTTGTTCTCATGGTAAATAAAGGCCAAGTAAAGATTTTTATTTATTTGTTTATTTATTTTTATTTTTTGAGACAGTCTCAAGCTGTCACCCTGGATAGAGTATTATGGTGTCACAGCTCACAGCAACCTCAAACGCTTGAGCTTAAGTGATTCTCTTGCCTCAGCCTCCCAAGTAGCTGGAACTGCAGGCATTCACCACAACGCCTGGATGTTTGGGGGTTGTAGTTGTCGTTGTTCGGCAGGCCCAGGCTGGGTTCGAACCCTCCAGCTCTGGTGTATGTGGCTGGCACCCTAGCTACTGAGGTACAGGCGCCAAGCCCAAATAAAGATTTTTAAAATGTAATTGAATTATGATCATCCTATGAACTTTACTTATTTACTTTTTTGCCTCTGCCCATATGCTCACCTGCTGAAATAGAGTATGTCTGTGTAACAGGGAGTTGAAATGGAGCAGGCTTTCTTTAGGTGTTCTTGTTTACCTGACTGTGTGGCAAGAATCAAAAAATGTTTTTGATTATGGATATTGACAGTTATCTGGCCTTGACTAGGGCTTTTATCCTTTTTAAATCTTTTATTCTTTCCTACAACCAACAGATATTTGGAATCCATTATTTACCCAGGTATTGTGTTAAATGATGGGATGGGAAGAATATGAGAACAGGAGATTAGATGTATAGATAGCTCAAACAGCACTTGTTCCCAGGCACTTGAGGGCACCTGAGAATGACCTGGCCATCACCAAGCCATTGCTTCAGCATAGCAAGCAATTATTTAAACTATGCTAACAAAACTCATGATTGCTATAGAAGTGTGTGGCTTCAGTGTGCTTTTAGGGAGAAGTTTAGGAAAGCAGGAGCATGGTCAAATGGATCTAGGTTCTGTTTAGCTTTGTTGTTTATTAACTGAATGACACTCCTGAGTATTCACAAATCTAATATAGAGGTGTTTCTCCATTAATTCCTCCATTCAGAGAACAAACATAACTGCGATTTAGGAAAAAACTAAATGGACTTTTAGGTTAAATGGTTATTTTCTCTGTTCAATTTTATTTTTTGGATGTATGGCTTTAATTCTAGAACTTCAACCATAAACAAAAGCTGGTTACCAGCTATAATTTTGACTTGTTTTTACTTTTCAGCTTTCATTCAGCAAAGTGTATACCAGCAAAATACCTTTAGTATTAGGTTCGGAAAACAAACAAAAAATTAGTCTTCTAACAGTGCTTGGGAAAGTAGACATAAATTTTGTTAATTTGCCTTTAAATTCATTTTGCAGTATATATTTACTAAAATTTATTCATAATTAAATTTAGCTGTATTTGATTTAAAGATAACTTACAGAAGTTTTGGTGTAAGTTATCTTTTTTTTTTTTTTTGGTGACAGAGAGTCTCACTCTTTCACCCTTGGTAGAATGCCATGGCATCAGGGCCCACAGCAACCTCAAACTCTTGGGCTCAAGTGATCCTCTTGCCTCAGCCTCCCAATTACAGGCACCCACCACAATACCTGGCTAAGTTTAGAGATGGGGGTCTCGCTCTTGCTCAGGCTGGTCTCGAACTCCTGAGCTCATGCTATAAGTTATCTTATACTTTGGCTTTTGAAATTTACTTTAGGCCATATGCTATAAACCAAAGAACTTAGAGGTTTGAAATTTAGTGATGAGATAAAGGGATAGAGAAACCTTTTTTATCTCACAGCACACTTTGAATCTGTAGTTAAACTTCCACAGCATACTTAAATTATGTTGCTCTAAAAAAAGAGTAAAGAAAAATACTATGCTTTGAATGGTTTTCAAAAATAATTAACGATCTGAAAAATTTTTGAGGCACACCTAAGATCCTCTTGTGGCACGCTGGTTGAAAATCATTGGTATAGAGAAAAGAAAAGCAGAAGTAGTTGTTATTTATAGACTGTCAAGCACTGACATTTGAACAAGTTTATCATTAGAACAGAACATGGTGTAATGTACCTGGAGGAAAGTTATCTATTACAAATTCTGATTTGAGTTAAGTATAATTCTTTGCTCCTTAGGCCAACTGGAACAGAGCAGAAGAAGAAAATGAATTCCAGATCCCTGGAAGAACTAGATACCCCTCTGACCAATTGAAGGAAGCCTCTGGCACTGATGTGAGACAGTTAGGTCCTTCATTGGACCACGGCAATAAGGATGTGCGTCATAAAGGAAAACGTGGGAAAAAAGTATGTAAAAGAGCATAGAATTTATTGGCTTGGTATTATATAATGCTTTCATTTTACTCCTTTTTTTAGTACTTAACATATTTTGAAACATTTTTACTACTTAGGTTAAAGATACTTCAAGTGAAGAAGTTAATCTGAGTCACATTGTACCCTATGAGCCAGTTTCAGAAGAAAAAGCAAAAGAATTACCTGAATGGAGTGAGAAAATGGCTCAAAATATTTTGTCAGGTATTACATTGTTATTTTTCACCCTGTAATGTGAAGCCTTTGGAACCCAATAAAGGTATTGCTTTTAAGGGAATACTTTGATAATATTTTGTATTTTTGTTTTAAGTTACCAATTTAGAAATACTCAAAAGTAGAAGGGATTAGTCTCTTAGAACATCACTTATCTTCATAGAGATATAAATTCTTCCTGGCTTAGTCTCTGTTCTTGGGAAATGGGTAGTGAAAAACTTCAGGAATCGGCCAGGTGCCATGGCTCACGCCTGTAATCCTGGCACTCTGAGAGGCCAGAGCAGGTAGATTGCTTGAGCTCAGGAGTTCCAGATGAGCCTGAGTAAGAGTGAGACCCCTCCTCTATGAAAAATGGAAAAACTAGCCAAGTATTTTGAAAGGCACCCTATAGTCCTAGCTACTTGAGAGGCTAGGGCAAGAGAATCACTTGAGCCCAAAGTTGGACGTTGCTGTGAGCTATGATGCTGGGGTACCTACCCAGGGCAACAGAGTGAGACTGTCTCAAAAACAACTTCAGGAATCCCCAAACTGTCAGTATTGCTCTGAACATAAAATTCATTACTTTCCTTTCCCGTTTAAAGTCCTATTTTGTAAAAGAGGTCCTGGAGAGCTGTCTTGCCCTTTCCACCATGCAAGGAGATGGTAAGAAGGTGCCATTCCATGAGTCAGGAAGTGAGTCCTTACCAGACACCAAATCTGCCAGCATCTTGGTCTTGGATTTTCCAGCCTCCAAAACTGTGAGAAATAGATGCCTGTTGTTTTAGAAGCCACCAATTTATTGTATTTTGTTATAGCAGCACCAATGGACCAAGACACCCACCTCCCCCCAAAAAAGTTCATTCAACTTTGGAAGCAAAATAGCACTCCTTAACCATATAGCAGGCACGAGAAAATCTAAGGGTTATAACCAAGTTGTTTGCGAAGTAGGTCCTGATAGGTAATTATGGTTAAAAAGGGCTTCAGAGCAATTATTCTAAAACCAAAATGATAATTACTAACATGTGTCTTTCTGATTTAGCTGTTTAACATTTCACTTAACTTGTCTGCTGTAGATCTCTGATTTATACCTTTTATTTTGTTTACTTTTTTTGTTTGTTTTTTATTTTGGTGACAGAGTCTTACTTTGTTGCCCTTGGTAGAGTGCTCACAGCTTGAACTCTTAGGCTCAAGCAATTCTCTTGCCTCAGCCCCCCAGGTAGCTGGGACTACAGGCACCCACCACAATGCCCAGCTATTTTTAGAGACGAGGTCTTGCTGTGGCTCAGGCTGGTCTTGAACCTGTGAGCTCAGGCAATCTACCCACCTCGGCATCCCTGAGTCCTAGGATTATAGGCATGAGCCACTGCATCTGGCCTACCTTTTATTTTGTTTTTAAAAATATTGCCAGTCCTCATTTAGTAAGTCAAATTCATGACCCATTATATGGGTCTTAACCTGTCATTGAAACAACTGTCATTTCAGGTTTCCATCTGTACAAAAACTCATTAAATAACAATATCTAAAGCAGAGGAAATCTTCAACATAAAAAACTAACAAGCTAAAATAGTTAGCTAGGAGCTAATAAAATATTTTTCCCATCGCCAAACAACTGTGCTTGAGACAAGAGGAAAAGATAAAGCAAATTTTCTAATGTAATTGTAGTATTAAAATTGACCCTTGAAAGAGATTTACAAAGAAATTGTGAAGAAAAACCTCTTCACTCTTAACTACCCAACTTCCTAACTTACAGGCTGCTAAGCATATTAGGAAGTCAACATTCAGAAAACTTGCCTGCCACCCACACACATGTAGATAACTAGATTCAAAGGGTATTTTCCCAAGTTGTGTGAGTTTATATGGCTATAACTTTGTTCCTTTTATTATTGCTATATAACAAACCACTCCAAACTTAAAGGCATAAACTACAAACATTGGTTATTGCTTAGGAATTCTGTGAACCAAGTATTTTAAAAGATCACAGTAGGGATGGCTAATGTCTGCTTCTATGACATCTAAGGGCTTCAGCTGGCAGGACTTAATGGCTAGCTAGTGACAGCGGGGGACTGGAATCACCTAAAGGCTCCTTACACCCTGCACTTGGGTTGGGAGAGCTTAAAGTCAAGGGCTGTCAAATAGAGTACCTACACATTGCCTCTTGTGGCTGGACTTACTTCCTCCCAGCATTGTGGCCTTTGGATAGTTGGTTTCTACGTGGTAAACTTAGGGTTTCAAGCATGAATCACCCAACCAATAGGCAGAAGCTACATTAGTTTTTCTGACATATTCTTTGTATCATTGGTTACAAGCAAAGTAACAGTCCTGCCCAGATTCAAGGGGATGTGATATAGACTGTATTTGTCAGTGGGAAGAATGTCAAGGTCATATTGAAAGAAGAACATTTAAAATAGGAGATACTGAATTTTTTGTCATTTTTCAGAAATAACCACCTTCAACTAAGTCTTAAGCTTCTAAGTACCACAGATTCCACATAGTGGTTCTACTGGCAGAGCATCCTTAAAGCCTAAAAGCATCCTAGGAAAAAGTCCCTTTAGAGATTTCAAAAGAACTCTGAGCAATGCATAATTTAAATAGGTACAAAAACCATATTCTTCTTTATACTGAAAGGTCTTCTTTATTCCTTGAGACCTCAGTTTCTTCATGTTAGTAACTTTTCCTCTTTATCTTATTGGCCCTTATGTAGCCCTTTTTACAAGGACTAGCATTCTAATTCTAATTCTAATATTTCTCATAGTTGGACAAAATAATTTTCCTATCAAAGTGTATGTCTCTTTAAGTGCTTTTTAATAGGTTGAATTAATGATAAATAGCTCATCAAATATTGGTACAAGTGAAAAGAAAAGGGAAGAAAATATTTGAGATTTGCTCCAGAGAAAATTATCTGATCTTTCAAGAGACTGCCCCTGACTCATGCAGATTCTGTAGAAAAGTACAAAACCAGGGATCTAGATTTAGCTCATTCCTTTTGGGCCTTAATCAGTTCCTGTCTGCTGTCAAAGGATGAGTAAAGATCAGGAAAAACTAGTCTGATATTTTTATAAATACAAAAGGTGAAATAACTGTGCTTAAAATTTACCTATGTAGAAGATTGGCTTTAGATGCCTGGGAAGAAGGCAGTAGCCATACATTTTTGATGGAGTAGAGTCTAATGAACTAATTTGGAAGGAGGCAGAGAACTGGTAACAATAGACTGATTAGAGCCCACCTTTGGAGCAGCCTCCCTTAAACAATTCTGGAAGAATAAACTCATCTTGGGATGCCATATGTAGATTGTACTTTTTAATGAAATGATACAAATGAGAGAAGCAAAGGTTTTAAAGGTTGTGAGACAACAGAAAATCATCAAAGGCATTTGAATGTCTCTTCTCAACCACTTAATCTCTTCAATTTAATGTACAGATAAACTTTGGGACGGTTGCTATGGAGCCAGAGGGAATGACCACTTTCTGCCTACCCATTCCAGTATATGTGCAAGGGAGCTAACCCATAAAGTTTTTCCAATATTAAATAACAATGATGATGTTTAAGATAAGGACTAGAGGCTCGGCACCTGTGGCTCAAGTGGCTAGGGCACCAGCCACATACCCTAAGGTGGCAGGTTCGAATCCCCAGCCCGGGCCCGCCAAACAACAATGATGGCTGCAACCAAAAAATGGCCAGGGGTTGTGGCAGGCGCCTGTAGTCCCAGCTACTTGGGAGGCTGAGGCAGGAGACTCGCTTGAGCCCAGGAGTTGGAGGTTGCTGTGAGCTGTGATGCCATGGCACTCTACCCAGGGGGATAGCTTGAGGCTCCGTCTCAAAAAAAAAAAAAAAAAAGATAAGGACTAGAAACAAAAACCTCATAAAGAATGAATGAAGATAAATACATTCAGAAAAGAAATCAGATGATTGCAGCAATGAAATATTGAGCAATAATAATAATGCAAAAAAAGTAACATTCACATTGTCAGATAAGAGAATGTCTGTCATAGAATGCTTTAACTCAGGTTCAGTATGGAAGAAGAGTCATCAGTTAACTTCTTATTTTTATCCCAAAGTCTCAAAAAATAGACAACTAATATTTAAATAAAAATAAAAGATAATTTCAAAAAACGGATCATGCCAAATCTTATAGACAATAGAAAAAGAAGAAATACTTCAAAATCATTCTACTTCATCTCGATACACCTGATATTAAAATTGGAAAAAATATATTATTATAAAGGGAAATTACAAACATATTTCTCTTATGTATAGAGAAAATAAAAAAAAAAAAGACAAAAAAGTTTTTCCAATATTATATATTTTTTACTATCATTCTGTGCTGCTAGGCTCTGGCAAGGAATTTTTCATTTTGGTTAAATTGGTCTATCAAAAAATAGCCACAAAGAAGCCCTCCTGTTCTTCATTAGATTCTTTGTTGGACTCTCTTAGACTAGTACAGTCTTCTGTCAGGTCTATGAAGATATTTATTCTAATACAAGGTTTATATAAGTCAATAAAGTATTATCAAGGAACAGTCACATATTCAGACAATTTACACTCAGTTGGAGTACAGGATGATTAAGTGCTAAAATCATTTTTACATTTTTAGAGAAGCAAATCAAACATGATAACAAACAATATATGTCATATAATTTGGAATTCAGTAGTAGTCAGGTTGTGGTAGTTGGTGCACCCTTACTTCTGCCAATTCACCCCCTGTTAGCCAGAGATAAATATCAGAAGCTAAATATAAAAAGACTAATGTTCTAAAATTCTTTCTAAAACTTAGAAAAGCCAGGATCTGTATCATCTTAGATTTCAGATGGCCTTTTACTCAGAAAGAAAACTGTAATTTGGGGCTTCTATTTTTAATAACAAGTATAAATGTTAAGTTTCTTTAGTTCAATAAAATTGGACAACACCCCATAAACTGCAGTGGTTAGGGGCCAACCTGTTGCTTATTCAGCAAATGTTTATTGAAAGCCATTTGTCGCTAGTAACTGAGTGTACAGTATACAAATAGGAACAGAGTCTGTATCTGGCACTGTACAAGCCATTTAAAAGATTTAAGTAGCTTATCAATGAAATATATCTTCTCTGCTGTTGCAGTTTTACCATACTTGACTATGCACTTCCATGGTGATATCTCGTAGATTATTTGCATCTGGTATTTCTCTTAGTCCTATGACTTTTCACTTAATCTCTTTTCTCTTTGTCCTTAATGGACTCCATTCATTTTGTTTCTTGTAGAATTTCATTATAGGATTATATTTCCTTTGTTTCATTGTCATTTATTTTGTCTCTCAGCCTTTGTCAAGTTCAGCTGTTTTTTACTACTTAATACTTTTTTAGCCTACAAATTAATAAACTTTAAAAACATAATTTTTAAAAATGGACATCTTCAGGTCCTATATGAGAGACTGTTTACCTGGGTTTGAGACCTGGTCCTTCCACAAATTGATTGTCAGCTAGGACAGTGAGGTTAGGATTTGCCCTGTAGCTGGAGGTGGAGGTCTTGCCTGAGAGAGAAAAAAAAATAACATAAAATTTTCTAACCAATTATTACTTGCTATTTAACATTTTTAAATAACCTGGTATGATTTTGATGTGATCACTGGATGCTTACTTGTAGGCTGAAGTAATCGTGTAAATCATAGCACAGACCCTGAGAGAACATATTTAAGTATTATGTGTCTAGCCTTAAAAGGTCCTTGTTTCAGGGTTAGCCAAAGAGAAAATAAATTGTAAGCTCTTTACAGAGAAGGGTAATACTTTCCTCCTCCCCATCTTTGGAGACTCTGTTATTTTGGAATCTCTCCCACTCCCCTTTCCCCACGGGCATACTGGCCGAGGACCTTTTCTCTTCACAAGAGAGGGCCCTGCCATTCTGCTTTCCCTTTTGGCTTCTGTCCTTGTTGCTGCAAACATCATGAATGGAGCCAAAGGCCAGGGCCCACTGTCAGGAGTAAAGGCTGAATTGTCTAGGTCTATCTCTTCTGTTTTAGATTTTTTCTTGTCATGTGTTCTTTGATGATTCTCATGTTGTTATTCAGGTTTATGTAGCAAGCTAAAAGGTGCTAAGATTAAGGAGTTTGAGTTTAGGACTGATGAAGGAATAGGATCCCCTGGCAGTACCTTAGCCTAAAGCAAGAATGAGTTCTTCTGCCTTGCTATTGAAGATGGAAGCCCTTTGGTTTCCATTTTGTGTTATTTTTTTCTCATTCAGGATTTTTGGGGGGAGGTCTGGACTAAGGCAGAAAGAACAAGAATATCTGGGTCCTCTAGCCAAATACTATCATAAAGGTACCAAAACTCAAAATGAATCCCTAACATTAATATAGTGTGGTAAGTTATATACAAAGATAACTACAAGTTATAGTGGTAGCATAGAACTCTGTTGTTGAGTGATCCATGTGTATGAACTAAGTACCGTGTTTCCCTGAAAATAAGACACTGTCTTATATTTATTTTTTCTCAAGAAGACACACTAGGGCTTATTTTTCAGGGGATGTATTCTTTCTGCACCGAAATGCATGGTGTGGCTATGCAGATATGCTGCATTAGCATGCCTATCACTAGGTCTTATTATCAGGGTAGGGCTTATATTTAACAAATGCATAGAAATCCTGCTAGGGCTTATTTTTGGGGTAGGTCTTATTTTCGGGGAAACACAGTATTGAAAGATGAGACATAGATTCCGGGAAGAAATCAGAGGTATAAAGTTAGCTTGAAAGTTGATGACATGGCATGTATGGGATCTCCATATCAAACTCCTTTTTTTGTTGTTGTTGATGTTATTTACCAAGGAGTTTGAAGAATTGGCTCTAATATTGTGTAATTTTGAATTTTATTTTTAAAAGGTGCTTCCTGGGTGAGTTGGGGGTTAGTCAAAGGTGCTGAATTTACTGGCAGAGCAATCCAGAAAGGTGCTTCTAAACTCCGAGAACGGATTCAACCAGAAGAGAAACCAGTGGAAGTTAGTCCAGCTGTCTCCAGAGGACTTTATATAGCGAAGCAAGCTACAGGAGGAGCAGCGAAAGTCAGTCAGTTCCTGGGTAAAGTAATTTTAGATGCCTTCTTCTAGCATTTAACATAAATTTAACATAATCTCTTCATCCAAATGTTTATTCAGATGATTTAATTTCAAGAATAAAGAAGTAGATCAAAGGAGTTTCTCATTGCTACTTTTACTGAACATCCCCTGATCTGGGAGCCATAGAAATGCAGAATTTCAGATTCCAATGTACTTACTGATTCAGAATTTTTACAGAATTCTTAGGTGATTGGTATTTGCATATTAACATTTGACAGACTCTGGTTAAAGGGGTGTTCTGATGTGCTGGAGAGGAGAGTGTATCTTTTAGAAGTTCAAAATGCACAGTCTCGTGTCACCTAACGACACAAGTGTGTCAGTAGGTGATTTCATCGTTACACGAACATCCTGGAGTGCATTTAGAGAAAACTAAATGGGATGGCTTATTGCTCCTAGGCTACAAACCTATACAGCAGGGTACTGTACTAGAAATTATAGGCAATTGGAATATGATAGTAAGAATTTGTGTATCCAAACATGGACAAGGTATAGTTGTAGCACAGAAATAAAAAAAATGGTGTACCCATGTAGGGCACTTACCATGAATATTGCTTGAGGGACTGGAAGTTGCTTTGGGTGAGTCAGTGAGTAACTGGTGAGGGCATGTGAAGGCCTCAAATATCAGTATACACTCTGTAGACTTTATAACACTGTACACTCGAGCCACACTAAAATTTTTTTAAGTAATTGCAGTGTTAAAATGGTGTGATGTCACTAGGGTAGGGGAATATTTCAGCTCTGTTATAATCTTATAGAACTATTGTCATATATGCAACAAAATGACCAATATGTCATTTTATGGCACATTACTGAATGTACTATTCTTAAATCCTTCTGAGAGATATAACACATTTCTTTTAAGGACAGCAGCTCACTGGATAGAAGTTCATGGTCAGGAGGGAGGGACATATTGTTTGAGGAGATCTGTCTTAGTGATCCTGGTGCCAGCTTTCCAAGCACCTGTTGTCCTTTAAGAATCAGAGTTCTAAAGTTTAGTGTTTTAAGATGGTCAGATAGGTCCTTAATGAATTATCATTTAATTAAGTAAGATTATCTTTTTGGTATTTAGTATTCTTTTGAATCATATTTGGGGTTGTTTCCTTTTATAGACTTAAATATCTTATTATTTCATTGCAATATTTACTGACGGAAAAATACAAATACATTTAGCTGGAAAATGCTAATGGTATACCAATTAATATTGCATTGCAACAGAAAAGAGAGATGGTTTCTCTCACACAGAAGTGCCAAGAAGAGTATGTATATCTGAGAAGTGAGGTTATAAATACCAGTAAGCTCTAAAAACACATTTTTAAAGCAGATAGCTTTTATTTTTAAAATAGCCTGTCTGTGGTGTGGCCCAGTAGTTTCAGCTACTTGGAAGGATGAGGCGTGAAGATCACCTGAGCCTAGGAGTTCAGTGCCAACCTGAACAATATAGTAAGATCCTATCTTAAAAAAAAAAAAAAAAAGCCTATCTAGCTTTTTCATCCCTGAGAAGAAATGATAATAGGAAGGAGTGGAACAATTTTAGGTTCTTTCTTAACAATTTTTCAATGGATTGTAAAATCAAGGGAAGAATATATTTTAAGATTTCTGTTTTTTGTTTATATTAGTTGATGGAGTTTGCACTGTAGCAAATTGTGTTGGAAAAGAACTAGCTCCACACGTCAAGAAGCATGGAAGCAAACTTGTTCCAGAATCTCTTAAAAAAGACAAAGATGGGAAATCTCCCCTGGATGGTGCTATGGTTGTAGCAGCAAGTAGTGTTCAAGGTAACAGAAGGGCCTAGAATTTTAACTGGGAAAGTCTATTTGCTTTGGGATAGATTTACTTACTATTAAATGTATTTGCAGGATTTTCAACTGTCTGGCAGGGATTGGAATGTGCAGCTAAATGCATTGTTAACAATGTTTCAGCAGAAACTGTACAGACTGTCAAATACAAGTAAGTTGAATTTTTTCATTTTAACCTCTAAATCTCTTGTAGCATTTGTAAAAATCCATGACACTTGAGATAATTATGTGAGGTGGTTCATAATCCCAGTACTTCGGGAGGCCTAGGTGGGTGGATCACTGATGTGGCCAGGAATTTGAGACCAGCCTGGCCAAAATAGCAAGACTACTTTAAAAAGATAATTATGTAGTTATTTTTAAATGTATATAAATCAGAGTTTCTTCACTCGTTGTTTTTCTTAAATAGGGAAAATAATATTTTTGGTAATATAGAATTCTTGTGACTTTGCTTTATGTTAGGATTTTTGAGTCAGTTATTAATTGATATAAATATTTGTTCATTAATGTAAAGAACAAGATTTAATTTTTTAAAAAACCTGGAATTTTATATATCTTATTAATTACATGTTCTTAATGGGTGACGTCTGCTTTAAAAATGAATTATAACTAGGCTCGGCGCCTGTGGCTCAAGTGGCTAAGGCGCCAGCCACATACACCTAAGGTGGCAGGTTCGAATCCAGCCCGGGCCCACCAAAAACAGCAATGACGGCTGCAACCAAAAAATAGCCGGGTGTTGTCGTGGGCACCTGTGGTCCCAGCTACTTGGGAGGCTGAGGCAGGAGACTCGCTTGAGCCCAGGAGTTAGAAGTTGCTGTGAGCTGTGATGTCATAGCACTCCACCCAGGGGGACAGCTTGAGGCTCTGTCTAAAAAAAAATGAATTATAACTAAACTGTGCCCCTTGTCACCCATTCTGTATACAAAGATTAAATTTTGTCACATCTTACTTGACTCTAATTACCACTATCCATTTGTATGAAAGTGGACACATGGTATGTCTTCTATTTCATATATTAAGAAATAGACAAACATAGACGTGAATGCTTTGCACAAGCTCACCTGATAAGTGGTATTGATTTCCTTCGAATTAGACCTTAAGGTCTCTCTAGAGCAGCGGTTCATGACCCACAGGAACTGTGTTTAAGGGTCGTAGCATTAGGAAGGTTGAGAACCACTGCACAACAGTTTAGTTAGGTACCTTTCATGGGATACTTCTTTATCCCAGTGGACAGCCTAATGCCTTGGTGTCCAACCTATGACCAGGACCAGATGTCCTTCTCCCAGAAAACTGATTTATACTGGCATGTACTCTTGTGGCACTTTTCTTAACCTGTGTCCAATTTATTCCTACTAAGCCATTCTCAAGGATACCCCTGGCTAGGGGGAGAGTGAAGTTTGGGTGTGTTGATCAGGTGAATACAGGAAGCAGGACAACAAAACACATGAATTAACAGAAGTACTGTATTGCTCACAGATGTATAAGAGAAGAGGAGTATCCATGAGGGCTGTGGGACTTCCCAGAGAGGGCAAGCTTAGTCAGCAGCTGGGAGCTGGGGGAAGTAACACATATGAATATGAGGGAGAAGAAGCCCTGTGGGACTGTGCTTTCATTAAGGTCCATGGATATTATCCCTTTGGCTTTCCAGTGGGAGGCGTGGATTGACTAGTTTAAAGAAAATGTGTGAAGGAGAGAACTTACTGATCTGACTCTGGTGTTGTCTACTAGATTTTCTCATTGGCAGCAGCTGTAGGGTATGTTGGATTTTTGAGTCAGTGAGAAGAGGAACAAGTGTCTTCTATTGCACACAACCACGTGGGGAGGGGGATATTTTAAGTAGGCCAAAGGTGAGGGGATATAACTGGGTTTGAAATGGTTATGTCAGGCCTAAAAGTGAATGCTGAAGCAGCAGCTATATTAAAGAAACTTACGGGAAGTGATATTAGAGATGAGATTTAAAACAGGATCTTCGGCATTTAGCGCTTTGGTCTTTCTACCTGACTATACTATTTTTACATAGGACTCAAGAAGTCAAAGTCTGAAAACTAAATATCTTACGATGGACCCAAGTTGCTTTCTTAGCTTTGAATTAGTTTGGATCTTTCTATTTATTTAGAAAGGGGAAGAGAAGAGTAATATTAATGGTGTTCATAATTCTTGGTTATTTGTGTTAATTATCCACTTACAACATTTGTTTGAGTTCATACTTATGTATCAATACTGTGTTCATTGCTTTTTATTATATATGTTGTTTAATTTTTAATACTGTTGTTATCTACATTTTATAGATATATTGTCTACATTTTATAGATGTGGTAAAGTGTAGAGAGTTAAATATCTTGTTACAGATGGCACCCCTAATAAGATGTAGAGCTGGAATTTAAAGCATATGTCTCGGTCATCAGAACCTGTCCTCTGCAGTGCAGAGAACAGGCTGGGCCAGCACTGCCCTTGGTGGGTAATCCATGCAGGCTTAGTACTCTAGAGTTACTTTTCCAGCATTATCTAACATACTTCTATTTCTGTTTTTTTTTAGCTAATCAATTTTTATTAAATTTATGGTCAGCAATAAAAGTGCAGTTACATGAAAAGCCCCACATTATGCATGTTTAATCTGTTTTTTACTGTCTCATACGGTGTTAAAGATGGGACCAATTTCTGAATTTTCTTTCTAGTGGTGGAATAAGGTTCAAATTGTTTTGTGGTGCCCTTATGTTGAATTTATGGTTTGTCCAGATAAATTTACAAGCAGAAGGTAGCTTTGTGGTTGGAGGATCATCAGTCAGACAGTGGAGCCACCGCTGCCCATCAGGAAGCACTGGATTCCACCCACATCCCAGAATGTGTTTTGCCATTTACTTCAGTGGTGAATATAACCCATTAGTGACAGCCAAAAAATCGCTTGTTGTCTTCACAATATTTGGTACCGTATTTGTCTTCCCCCACTGGTTGTACCAACCCTCACGTGTTAGCCCTAAAAAACATTTGTAGATAGCTGCGCAGGACACTGTGACAGCTGGTCTGCCGCAGCGTGCGCTTCAAGACCTGTACTAGCTCCATCTTATCCTGCAGGCTCTAACATATTTTTAGATTCTTTCTCACGACAGTATTTCCTTTGCTTTAGGAAATACTAACTTAGTTTTTTGCATCCTATGCAAATTATGAAGCAAATTAGGTTTGATTTGCTTCATCTGGCTATGCATATCTTTGATCAAAGCAACATGGTACATCATCTTGGATTGTCAGCTTTACCAAAAGAACTGAAAATGAGAATATAGAGTATGTCTGAAATTCTTGATAGAAATGTAAAACTCAAGTCTTCGATGCACCTCTTGCCACTTGTGGCACTGACCTCTGTCTGATACGCACTGTTTTCTGCCCTTGAGGTTACTTGATGGATCAGTCATAATTGGAAAAATAGTTTCTTTGTAGCAAGAGTAAGAAAAAGTCCCAAGTCCCTTTAGGCTAAGAGCAAATTGTTTTTAGATTGTCATTTGTTAGCAGAGATTATTAGGCAATCATCAGACAGTAGGAAGTGCTTTATTTAATTTGCCCATTTCCTACTCTAATGAAAAAAAACCTTACCTAACTATAATGAGCCTATTAAAAGTTTGAGATTCCCATAACTAGGAAGTACTGAGTTTTGATTAGATTTTATATTTCTGGTCCTTAGCAAGAACTTAATGTAATGTGGCAAATACAATATTTTAACAGTGATTCTGAGCTCATTTATTTCTATTATACTATGTATAGCTATTATTTTTATCCTTTCCTCCAAAGATTTGTGGAACAAAAAAAAGCAGGTGAGAATTTAGCTAAGTAGCTTTTATTACTAACTATAAGGATGATTGTTTTAGCAGCAATTTAATTTCTACTATTAGAGACTTGGAAAGATGGGAAGGCAGTAGGGAATAAAAGATTGTACCCAAATAATAACTATTTTCTCACTTGTAAAGATAATCTGGCCCAGATATAGAAAATGTCTTCTAGAAGAAATTGAAAGTATTAAACTATTAATGACTTAGTGACAGAACTGAGGAAATGGAAAAGGTAGTTGTACCTTTGTTTATGTTGTACCTATGTTATGTACATATATATATATTTTTTATGTTCTTAATTATTTACACTTACTATACTTTCAAACAAATTTTTGATATAGTGAGCATTTGTGTCCTTTTCTCATCCTACTGATGGTAGTATCATAAACACAGTTTTTGTCCATGGAATGATCACTTGAGCTCAGGAGTTCCAAACCAGCCTGAGCAAGAAAGAGATCTTGCCTCTACTAAAAATAGAAAAAATTAGCTGGGCGTGGTAGTCTGTAACTATAGTTCCGGCTATATTGGAGGCTAAGGGAGGAAGATCCCTTGAGCCCAGGAGTTTGAGGTTACTGTGAGCTGCGATGACACACTGCACTCTAGCCAGCATGATAGAGACTCTGTCCAAAAAATAAAAAAATAAAGAAAATTTGTGTTCATATTGCCTACGATAAATTATTGCCTTCCAAAGTAGTCATTTTAAATCAGCTTTAATTACATGCATTATTATGCTATATAATACATTCTTATGATCTTATATATAATACATTATTATGATCATGTACGTAACACATTATTATGATGATGTATATAATACATTATAAACAAATATATTATCTGAGTTCTGGTGGTATAAGCCAATATAACAACTATTCATTAAGACTCAGTTTATTTTTGTCAGTTATATTAAAACTTTTATTTTAGATTTATGAGTGTAAAGAAGGCCTACAGGAACAGTGAAAAACAATACGCAACTTTAAACCTGCTACACTTCATTGTAGTATAGTACCTGTTAAATAATTCATCATCCTTCTACATAGCTTCTAAATTTCACCTTTAAGCTTCTTTGTGTTCTACTTTAAATTGTGTAAAGAAAAGTAATTTTAGTAACTTAGATCCATTTTTATTTTCCCCTAGCAGTATTTTATCTTTAAATATATCTTTGTGGTAAATAGCTTAAAAACAGATATTTTCCTACAGGAAATTTACTGTTTTATGGTAGAGTATTTTATTGGTTTATATAGTGAAATTTTTTTTTTTTTTTTTT